TTTAGGCTATAGTTTCAAGTGATGTAGAATTTGATTACAGATTATTAGAATCATAAGCACTCTTTAGGCTTTGGCTTCAAGTAATCAAGAATTTGATTAGAGACTACCATAGTCATTAGCATCGTTTAGGCTATGGTTTCAAGTGATCTAGAATTTGATTACATATTATTAGAATTCAAGCACTATTTAGGGTATGACTTCATATAACCTAGAAGTTGATTACAGACTATCAGAATTATAAGCACTGTTTAGGCTATGGCTTCAAGTAATCTAGGATTTGATTAGAAAATATCAAAATCATAAGCACCATATGCGCTATGGCTTCAAGTAATCTACAAGTTGATTACAGATTATCAAAATCATAAACACCATTTAGGTCATTGCTTCAATTAATGTAGAAAATTAGAGTCTATCAGGATCATTAGCATTGTTTAGGCTATGACTTCAAGAAATCTTCAAGTTGATTACAGATTATCAGAATCCTAAGCACTGTTTAGGCTATGGTTTCAAGTGATCTAGAATTTGATTACAGATTATTAGAATCATAAGCACTATTTAGGCTTTGACTTCAAGTGATCAAGAATTTGATTAGAGACTACCATAGTCATTAGCATCGTTTAGGTTATAGTTTCAAGTGATCTAGAATTTGATTACATATTATCAGAATCACAAGCACAATTTAGGGTATGGCTTCATGTAACATAGAAGTTGATTACAGACTATCAGAATTATAAGCACTGTTTAGGCTATGGCTTCAAGTAATCTAGAATTTGATTATCAAAATCATGAGTACCGTTTAGGCTATGGCCTCAAGTAATCTACAAGTTGATTACAGATAATCAAAATCAAAAACACCATTTAGGTTATGGCTTCAAGTAATCTATAATTTAATTAGAGACTATTAGGATCATAAGAATTGTTTAGGCTATGACTTCAAATAATCTTCAAGTTGATTACAAATTATCAAAATCCTAAGCACTGTTTAGGCTATGATTTCAAGTGATCTAGAATTTGATTAATAATTATTAGAATCATAAGCACTCTTTAGGATTTGGCTTCAAGTAATCAAGAATTTGATTAGAGACTACCATAGTCATTAGCATCGTTCAGGCTATGGTTTCAAGTGATCTAGAATTTGATTACAGATTATCATAATCCAAGCACTATTTAGGGTATAGCTTCATGTAACCTAGAAGTTGATTACAGACTATCAGAATTATAAGCACTGTTTAGGTTATGACTTCATGTAATCTAGGATTTGATTAGAAAATATCAAAATCATAAGAGCCATATGGGCTATGGCTTCAAGTAATCTACAAGTTGATTATAGATTTATCAAAATCATAAACACCATTTTGGTCATGGCTTCAAGGCTTCAAGTAATCTAGAATTTCATTAGAGACTATCAGGATCATAAGCATTGTTTAGGCTATGACTTCAAGTAATCTTCATGTTGATTGCAGATTATCAGAATTCTAAGCACTATTTAGGATATGGTTTCAAGTGATCTAGAATTTGATTACAAATTATTAGAATCATAAGTATTGTTTAGGCATTAGCTTCAAGTAATCAAGAATTTGATTAGAGATTATCAAATGTGCACACAAAAGATATTTATTGTTATAAATGCTATTCGCCAGACCATCACATCCCTGCCTCCACCCATAACCGTCTATAAATTGCAAGAGCAAGAGAGTTGTGTCTCATCAAATTCATTGCAAATCAACAAAAGGTTGAGAAAAAATGATGAGTTCATTTGATATAAAACTTCTTGTGCTGTCAATGAATTTACTCTTCGTCGCCCTATTAGAAGCAAAGGCGCATGTGACTATTATAGATAACGTGAAGAGAGGTACTCTTACGATTCATTGTTTTTCCAAAGACAATGATCTTGGAACCCACAATCTAGCATACGGCAAGTCTTTTCAATTCAGTTTTTTGCCCAACTTTTGGGGCAATACCAAGTTTTTTTGCACCTTCACCACTCAGTTCGGTTCAGGAAACTATGCTGTTTTTGATCGTCGAATGGAAATTCAAAGATGTGATCATGACTGTGTGTGGTACATAGTGGAGAACGGGCCATGTTTAGTGCAAAGCAAGCGGCAAGACTTGTGGTGTCAACCGTGGAAGAATCCAAAAAAATGGTTGCATGAAACACATCATAATTGAGTGACTAAATGCGATATATCATTGAAGGCATTTCTAGTTGAAGTGCATTCTTCTCTTCTAATTGTTGTTGGCCTAAATAATACTAAAAACTTATGGAATAAAAGAGAATTACTTTTGTTATTTGACTCAGATTCAAACTAAGGTTTGAAACCAAACTTCACTCAAGGAGAATAGGCCGGATAATTTAGATGAAATCCAATGTAAATCCAATTTTTGATTCACTATGAGATCATGACAATCCATGGGGATTGTACCATCTCAAGCAAATTATTGTGTCAAGATGGATTTGAACTAGCATAATCATATTGCCAACTAATAAGTTGATGTGCCAAATAAGAGGCTTTTTTACGAGCTTTGAGCCCAAAATCATGTGAACAAAATTCATTCATGTATTTTTGTTTAACAATAGAAACAAAAATTCTTATTCTAAATCAACAAGTTAAATGCTACACAGTGATTGTTGATGCAACAAATTTTGTAACTAGACTAGTTGTCCCCGAGAATCTTTTGTAATAAAACTCGATAAAGATGGAAGGTCTACTTCTTAATCTTATATAGATGTATCAAAATAGGTGGATAGGTTCAAACTGGCCAATAAGAAAATACAGTAGGTCTTCAAACGACGTGAACCGCATGGGACCATGACAGGTGAATACTGTTGGCTGAACAAAAATTGAATCTGTTAAGCTATCATTGTCAATTTTTTCCCCTTTTTTCCACTTTCTATTTCCACCGCCAAATATCAAAAGTGTGGCATTTGGGCATTCACCATTTACATTGTTACTGAAAGATTTAGGTTTGAGTCATCTACCGACTGCAATTACGGCCTCTTTGATTCTCATTAATTTATTTTGTGGTTTGTTACATGATCATTTTCAATCACACATTCATACAATAAAATATTCTACACGTTCTTCAAAAAAATTCATACTTTTTAACCACATATTCTCCTAAAAAATTATTCAAAATTCCTTCTTCTTCTTTTTTTTATTTTTTTTATTTTTTTCAATTAATAGGAATCAAATGGGCACTTAATCCTTTCAAATTGTAAGTGATATTAAACTATTTTCCAGCCCAGTCCACCTTTATGGGCATGTCAACCTATTAGTCATTCTTATACAAGCTGGCTCTGGGTTCATAATCGTTTTTTAAGGAGTTCGGACTGCCTGATCCATTTTGACACTTCTAGAACAAAAGACGGAATATAAGCATCAGTCAAGACAATGAAAGAAGTACAATCAAGCTAAACACTAGGAGAGGACACAGATCGAACTGAATAATATATAAATTAATTAAATAAGACAACAAATTATAATACACTCCGAACTCAAGATCAATTAATAAGGGCATAAAAAATGATGAATTATTAAACACAATATGAACCGTAAAATCTGGATAAAAAATTAATTCTTAAGATAATTCATACTACGATATATATTAAAAAAAAAAAAAGGCATGTAGTATTTATAATCAGATTATCTTCAAGGAGAATATCTTGATTTTGATGATAGAACAATTTGATAACAATGAGATATTTGATTTCTTACGGGCATAAAAAATGATGAATTATTAAACACAATATGAACCGTAAAATCTGGATAAAAAATTAATTCTTAAGATAATTCATACTACAATATATATTAAAAAAGAAAAAAGGCATGTAGTATTTATAATCAGATTATCTTCAAGGAGAATATCTTGATTTTGATGATAGAACAATTTGATAACAATGAGATATTTGATTTCTTACAAAAAATTGAATTAATAATACACTTTTTCCTATTGAGGTTGCATTAAATATATGATTTTTTGTAAAGTATTTATAAAATTGTTTAAATTTAAATGTTGATTACCCATTAAATTTTACTGTAAAAGAAAGAATAAGAAAAGTATGGAAAGTAAAATTTTGCTGTGAGATAATTTTAGAGTCTAGTGTTCAAATATTTGGTGTATATTTGTGCAATATACCAACACGGAGAATTTAGGGAGAATCAAATTCGCAGTTAGTTCTTAAAGCACCAAGAACAGGATCGAAACTGATGGGTTCTCGATGTGTGATCCCAAAATCAATCCATTTAATAAAAGAACCAAAATCAAACCTGTCTACTCTGGAAAAGATGGCCCACTCTACTAAACAGTGATCCTAGACAATTAATCTGAAATGCATCTTGCAAACAGAATACAATAGTAAAACACTTTAAGCTCTTAATCCTTGTTCAGAAAATACAGCTAGAAAATGGAAGATTATGGATCCAATGGTTACAGGTTTCCAGAAGGTTTAGGATCTATTTGCACTATTTTACATGATACAAGACCCCAAATGAAATTTTCTCAAATATTATTTTATTTTAATACTCAATTACTTACCTACAAATCCCTTATATATAAAAATTTTAAGTCAAACCTGCGTGCTCTTTGTCAAGTTGCTTACAAACCTAACTAGTAACTACAATGAAATTGGTAGACAGAAAGAGAGAAATAACTTATAAACATTGCACTGCTTGTTTTTAAAATATTCCCTTGATAGTAAGTTAGTTCTTAATATTTAAAAGAACTAAGTTGATTCTCACCTGTTCATTACAATCTCAAATCACTAAAAATTGTTCGATCTTGGCTTATTTTGTAAGATTTCATTTTGCTCCTTGATTGTGGATGATTTTAAATTTTTTAAGTAAATTATGTTGTCACTCAAGACTCATATAATTCTTCGAAAAATTAAGGACCAAGTTGTTACTCCAGCAATAGATTGGAGACCAATTGTGCAAATTTCTCTTAAAAATTAAGCGTAAAGAACAAATATCAACACCATTTATCCGTCTAGTCAGCCTAGATTCTCTTCTTCCAATTTGACTCCACCCCTTATGCAAAAATAGTCATTAATTTCTTGTTGTAGCGTCTAAATCTAATCAAAGTTCCTATCAATTTCGCGTCCACTGTTGCATCCATGGGAGATTGGCCGGATGATCGAGTCGCCGGAGACGATATTGCGAGACTGGTGGAGCAAGCCAGGGAATTGCAGGACTCGGCGGCGGCGTTAATCTCACGCACTGCCCGCGACGAAGATGAGCTCCGTCAGCGCGTAGCCTCGCTCGACTCCCACATCCAGTCCCTCCGGAACTCCAAACACGACGATAAAGTAAATAGTAGAGTATCATTATACATGCATGTGCAGAGTGCAGTGTGTGTTTTGTTTCTGATCTTGTGTTTGGTTTTTAGTTGGATGTGGAGCTGATTAAAGCGACATACATTTTGAGTGAAGGAGATGCAGCGGCATTTCTTCCGAGCAAATCTCATGGTGTGTTTTTTTTAATTTTCTTTAGTACTGGTCTGCGGGATTTGATATGGGTGTGAGAATGGATGAGTGTTCTTTATATATGCAGGAAGCTTTTTGAGGATGTTTTTGGGGCCGATTAATGTTCGGGCAACTAGAAAAGATGTGCAGTTGAAAGTGAAGGAGGAATATAATAAATTCAGAGTACGACTTTAACCAAAAATATGTCTTAGCAGTTTATATTTTGCTTGAAAACTGTTTCTATTATGTTAATTTAAGTGATTGTTTTTGCTGAAGATGCATATTAGTAGGTAATTTCGTGATGGGAAAGTATTTGTCCAATAACAAACAAAAATACTTAGTCTTATAAAAAAAAAAAAAAAAATAAACTAACTAAAATACTTAGTACCATTGTTTATAATGATTGCAATGGTAATCAATTGTTACTCTCTATTTCTATCTAACTGAGTTTGTTATAAATTGTTCCTAAAAGATGTTGTATAAGATACTCAAGATGCATTCCTGGTTTTCTCTTGGAAATAGTTGAATTTATTTTCCATTTTATCCCTGTAGTCAACACAAAATCTCCACCAGCCATCCTTTTTCTTCATAGGTAGAACAGATACTTCCGTGTTTACCATATAATAAAAGCTGATCTTGGTCCATGGAGTCCCTAAATGTTAAAAACTCCAACCTATGCTTACTCCTTTCTACTGAGAAGAGGAAGGAGAACAGTGCATTATGACCTGTGGCTGCCTGGGGGATGTGTGTGTGTGTGTACCAGATTAGGAAAGTTTTCCTTCTTTAATTTCTACTATAATATGGATGTAGAAAAGGATGATTATAATTTTGATTGAATTGAGTAGTTTCTTGTAGAAAAATGTGTCTTGATGGAGATGTAAAGCAGTCACTGGTCTGATGTTCTCAACTTATGACGAAGCATTTGTGCATGTAAGACGATTGCTAACTATTATTGCTCATGTCTAATATCTCTCTTGACAGGATAGAACGTCCTTTTTGTTCCTTTTTTTCCCATTGCTGTTGCTGATGTTAAGGTCATGGATTTGGGATGGATGTCTGCCTGCATTGCCAGTACAACTTTATCAGGTATACAGCGTGTCTATTTTTTTCCTCAGTTATAATATTTGATGGCAATCATACCTTTTATAGTATGCTGAGAATTTTTGCTTTCCTTCTTAATTTCTTTACTCCAGGCATGGTTGCTGTATCTCTACACAGGTTTGGCATTGAGGGAGAACATCCTGAGAGTTAATGGAAGTGATATACGTCCATGGTAATCGTATAGTATGATCTCTCTTTTTTTGTATGGAGGGAGGCGCGGATTTAGATTTCTGCATCACATTTGATCATCCTCATTTTTTTTTTAATTGTAGAATTGAAAGTCTAAATTTTTTGTTCTTGTCCCCTTATGGCTGGAATGTATTATAAATATTAGGGTAATTGGGTGTATCTATTTGACCATTGTTGAGTTATAGATGGAACTATAGTTCTCGAAGATAAATTGGCTGGGCAAGTCACTACAATTAGGCTTTGTTTGAGCCCCATTTATGGGGAATATGAGTTTTGTAACAGTGATTTTTTATTTTTATTTTTTTTTTTTTTGGGAGAATGTATGGTTAAAAAGTAGGGTAAAGTTTTGGGTTTACGTGTAAAATTATTTATTGGGAGAATGTGTGGTTGAGAAATTGAGTTTGGGGAAAAATGATTTTTTAGAGTATGGGGCTTAAATAGGTGCTTAATTTGTTAGTTTCCAGTGCCATAAGAGTGGATGCAGAATTCACACAACAAGAGAAAAGGAGATAAGACGAAGATTTAGAGAACAAAGGAAGAATATTTGTAATTCAATTTCAATAATAAATGATAGTGTCATGAATAAAATGAAAAACTTAGGATCTCCCTTTATAGAAAAAAGAAATGAACCTCTAGTGAAAATCAATGTCCTAATTAACAAAAACTAGTAAAATCTTGTCTAACTCAAGTCTGTTATTTAATCTTGTTGCGCTCAGAATGCAATGTGACTGTAGCACCCTTTTAAAGCAAATCAACATAGTCTCAATGAGTTTTCAGGTTTCACCAAGGAAGGTTGATAGGGGTTAGATGCCCCGACCATATGTAAAATCAAACTCACGAGAACAAAAAGGAAGGGGACATAAACCTAACCTCCTAAAAGCAGAACAATGCAACATATAAAAGAATGAAATAAATGGGATAGCACTACTTCCTATACACTGTAGCACCTTATAAGCTTGGCCAAACATGTTATCTGTCAGACTGCAACTTCTACCGGGAGATGCTAGTGGTGCTATTTTGATAACTGAGATGCTAGGTGTGGGAAAATGTATATCATTTTTATTTTTTATTTTTGAATAAGATGGTGAAATTCGAACCACCTATTATTTGGCAAATTGTTCTTGATCTTTCTAATTTTGGAGTAATGCTATGGTTAGTGAAAGAATTCTTTTGAGCTGATAGTTTGTAGCTCTCAAAACAAAAAAAGTGTTGGAGTTGGTCAGATGGGTTACTTTTTGCCTGTTTAGCTATCTCATTTTAGAAAAAAGCTACATTTTGGAGAGGTTTAAAAGGTCAGTTTGCTTTTTAGGCTCACCTTTGTATGAATATGGTAATCAACCACATGTTGTTTTGGTTGAGGTATAAATTTCTTGAAGAAGTTTTATACCCTCATTGTGAACAGATTGCACTGTCATTGAAACAACACTGCCACGTTCAAAATCTTGGAAGAAAAAAAGCTATAAAAACAATGAGAATTATGGAGCTACATTGTCAAATATGATGTGCATAATTGACATGAATATTTGATATCATCATTATTCAGCCAGTATTTCTCAAGCTCCTTAATTGCTATATTTAGCCTCCGTCTGGAAAATTTATAAATATAAATTGGTCAGGCATTATGTTCAACCACACATTTCCAATGACCCACAAGTACTAGTCATTTCTATCTATTTATAAATTAATAGTTTATAAATTCTCTCCAAACTGAGGCTTAGGTTCTTTTTTATACTTGCTAATTGTTAGATCTTTCATGTTCAACTTTCTCATGCTCTCTGGTGTGCCAGCTTGCATACATCTTTTCTTTCAAATTCTCTCTCTTACATACATTAAAATTCTCTCCTGTCATATGCACAAGCCATGGAATATTTCGAAAGCATCATGATTTTACTTCTACAGGTGGATCAAACACCATTATTGTGCTCTGGCTATGGCCCTTATAAGTCTTACGTGGGAGATAGAGAGGGGATCTGATTGTGCCCAGAAACAGGTGTTTATGCATTGTCATGTTTCTGCACAGCATGCACACCGACCTGACAGCTCTAAAGTTTCTATGTCTTCCATGCTTAGTTTCGTCCTTTTTTTCTTTTCTTCTGTTTTTGTTAGATAATTGGAAATCAAATTGTTCATTGCAGAGAGGTGTACAACTGTTTCTGAAATGGGCAATTATGCAAGGAGTTGCAATGATTCTCCAGAATAGATACCAACGGCAAAGACTATATACACGTATTGCTCTAGGCAAGGTGCAGTCTTAAAATCATGTGTTTTTGACAATTCTTGTATGCCTTTTCTTCTCTCCCGACTGCTTGTGTTTCAAATTTATATTAATCTGATGAAGTTACGGCTTTCCATGCATAAGGTTTTAGCAAGACTTGGAAAAAAGTAAACAACTGCATTCGATCAGTTTATACTTTTGCATGATTGTTTATGCTCTCAAATGAGGAGAGTGGTGAGCATTTTGGCTCATCTTTCAGCTAAAACTAGTTTTAATATGCGTCTGAAATACGTCCAAGCCCTTTCATCCTACCGTAATAGTTGAAGCTGTGGTAAATCTATTGCTTGCAAACAGATTCTGGCATATAACCCAAAACTTTGGCTGACATGGAAATTTTTCTTTCATCACTTTCTCGTAAGGTTGTTTACATTATTTTATTTGAGACATTTTTGAGGTATTGCTTTTGCTTGTAGGCTAGGAGAATGGATGTTGTCTGGGGAGAAACTGCTGGAGTGGAGGGTCAGTTACTGTTGTTGTGCCCTATCCTCTTCATCTTGCAGGTATTCAAGTTGCTTGACTGTTTGTTTCCACAGAAGCTTGAAATTTGCTTTAGATGTTAAAATATATGCCTCCATCGGAAATTATGTTCTCTCTAGAGGTCAGCTTGGAGAGTGCTATAGTCTTTCAAGACCCTGAATCGTCTCGATGGATACAAATCTATGATGCACTGACACAGATAGATGTATTTGACACGATATAAGTCGGATACGTCAACACGTGATTTTTCAAAAAAGTACTGACACGACACTCCGCCGACAAGTTGATGAAATTCTTTATTTATATAAGATAGATTTAGTTTTACACTTATTATTGATTTTTCTTGTTGAAGTATTTTAAATACGAGTACTTATTTGTTATTTACTAATAACTTTTGAATTAAAAAAATTTCAAAAGTTATATTAAGAAATAAAAATGATTATTGTAGAATATCCGACGAGCGTTGGTATCGACACGTGTCCGACATGTGTCGGACATAGACACGCTACCCTAGTTAAAATGTCCATGCTACACAAATACAAATGTTTCATCTCTATATTCAATGCACTCCTTTAAACTAGTTACAGTAAGCAACTTGCTCTTTGTTTCCAGGGTTTTGAAGCATATGTTGGAGTCTTATTGCTTAAAACTACACTTGCTGGATTCTTCTCTGAGTGGCAGGTAGATATAATCATTTAAATGCACAATCTTGTGAATATTTTTTGTGTGATTTTGTATATTTGCACTTTGCAAGTCGACTGCAACTTTTGGTTTTATTTCGTTTTTGTTCAATCAGTTTGTTCGATATACTTTGTATATAATGCACCAATTTCAGGTGATCACCTGTGGGATTCTTCTGATTATCATGGCTGTTGGAAATTTTGCTAACACGGTGCAGACTCTAGCGATGAAGTCTCGTGTTAAAGCAAAAATTAAGAGAGGTCGAAGCAGGCAAGAATTAAATCAGTGATCTTAATTGCAAAAGTTCATAATGGGGTGCGGACTATTATTTATTGAGGTTTGATAACAAGATGAGGATGTAACAACTTTAAGCAGAATTTATTACATTGGCGTTTTAACCTTTTATGCATATTTAATTGATGGTTTTTCCAACGGTGACCTTACAACGTAGGAATCAGAATTTTATTAGTTTGTAACAGTTGTAGCAAAAACTAATCACCCTGTTTTTGAGTGAGTACTTTAAATCCCGTTCATCTAGTCACGTCCAGTACTCTATCCAGTCATGTGAATTATTTTGATTTCAATCGAAAAGAAGTTTTGTTCCTTTGAACATGTGTCACTGACGTCCCCCCCCCCCCCCCCCCCCCCCCAAATAAAGATATATTTCACAATCAAGTTCAAATATTTGCAACTGCAGGAAAGTGGGAGCATGCATGTTCCAATCACCTAAGTATACTAAAACAAGAGAAATTGCTGAGGCAGACAGCATTTCTGTATATCATCTGCCTCGAAGAGTCCCGATAAGGAAGCATTCCGATTCCTTAGATAGTCAATAAGAAGCCCATTCCGATTTAGTTATCATCATCTCAGGCAATAGCAGATTGGCAACTGAACTTGAATTGAACAGGAACAGACCAAGTTTCTCCAGTAATCTGTTGGTTAATATACCAGCAGCATAACAAAAACTCGAGACCATAAACCCTAAAACAACAAACTTTAAGATAGTTTTCAAGTAAGATTTTGGGGGTCTCTGGGTGTAGGCTTTTCCGGTAGCTAGTAAGCAATGCATAGCAAAGAAGCTACTGGAACTACCGCAAGCTTGAGTTCCTTGTTATCATTCTTGCGAAATGAGAAACCGTACACCAAATGTGGCACTAAGCCAACTATTATGTATGATAGTATCGCCACAGTTGCATGAATTACGAAATTCTCTCTCCTGCCAAAGAGTTCTTTATAACGATCTCCTTGCTCGGTTACTTCATTCAATACTTGCTCTGTGCAATTCCTCTTAGTTGCCAAAGCTGCAAATTTTAGCTTGAGGGTAAAAACGTGTTTTAGCTTTTAATTCGACTAATTAGAGCTTAAAATCAGTTGTGACTATTGACATCCCAAGTGAAGACATCAGAGATTTGTCCCACTGCTGACATTCCTAAATGAAGCTGTGAAATATCTAACAAATGCTGCTTAATTAAAACAATAAAATGATAAGCCCCCCGTGAATTTCGCTTACCAGCGTCGTCACAAGAAGGGCGTGTAGAGGAAGTTGGAGGGAATATTCTAGAAATGTTAAAGTCGTTACATTGAGGTCAGTGGTATATATAAATAGTGAAGGATAGGTTTGGAATATTTATTCAGAAAACTAGAAATCTAAGTCTAATGGGAAAGGAAGCAGCTCTCGAAACTTGCTTGTTAATTTCTCATTCCTTTCGATCATCGAGTCTGTAATTCTCAGTTTTAATAAAATTCTTATTAATTCCATTACTGTGTGATTCGACATATCAATTAATCAAGCATTATTTCACCTGGGCAATTCGAATTCAGCAGGTTTTATCAAATTGGTATCAGAGCGTGTGACATTCTGGGAAGCGGATGCCAGCGACAAGGATGGATAATCGAATTGAAGTGCTGGAAAACGCAGTGGCTCAGATTCAACCTTTGGGTACCTCAGTAATCGCATTGAAAGGGGACCTGGAACAGCTAAATGCGAGATTGGGGATGGAGTTGAGCAAAATGAATGAGAGGTTGGAGGTCAGTCTCACATTGGGTAGGAAGGAGCTGAACGAAGGCCTGCAAGCACTAGCGAAGATGTTCAAGGGTATGTCCCCAGAATCCTCCGTAATGACAGGGGAAGGAAGTAGAATGAAATCGATCGGTCTTATGGAAGAAGTTACGGAATCAGAAGTTATATTACCAAAGAAGGTGGTTGCTCCAGCGGCTGAAGGAACTTACCGTAAACTAGAGCTACCCCTATTTAATGGGGTTGACCCGGACTCCTGGATATTCAAAGCTGAAAGATACTTTTGCATAAACAAGTTGACTGATGCTGAACGAACGGTGGCAGCTGGGGTATGCATGGAAGGAAGTGCATTGTCTTGGTTTCAGTGGGAAGATGGGAGGCAGCCCATACGAAGCTGGATAAAACTAAAACAGAGGTTATTGGAGAGATTTTGAGATACCCAATATGGAACTCTACATCAGCGGTTTCTGGTAATCAGACAGACTGGGACCATTGCCGAATATAGAGAAAAATTTGAGGTAATGTCAGCAACTTTGAAGAATGTAAACGAGGAGACACTAGAGGGGGTCTTCATAAATGGGTTGGAAGAAGAAGTGCAGGCAGAGGTATTGATGGCAAAGCCAGTGGGACTCTCGCAGATCATGGATATGGCACAGAGGGTGGAGGATAGGAATAATCAGATTAACAGAGTGAAGGACAAGGAGCGACCAAGACATAAGGGTGTGATTATTCCAAGCCCAGCAAGGGTCGAGCAACGGACTGTCCTTAGCATCTAAACAAGGGACTGGAAGGGCAGGAAAAAAGGGGCAACCCTTTGACAAACACCACTATGGGATTCAAGAAATAATCACAGGCCGAGATTTAGACAAAGAAGGAAAGGGGATTATGTTTCCGATGCAATGAGAAATTCCACCCTGGGCACAAATGTCGCAACAAGGAGCTTCAGGTGTTGCTGGTTGACGAGGAAGAGGAAAGGGAAGTGGAGCGGCTAGAGGAGATCACAGATTGTAGTGAATTGGAAGGGGTTGTTATCGATGAACTCTGTAGTTGGGTTAACATCACCCAAGACCATGAAGGTTAAGGGTAAAGTGGAAGGGCAGGACGTAGTAGTGTTAATTGACTCCGGGGCAACGCACAATTTTATTTCTTGGGAATTAATCAGGAAGCTTAACCTGCCAATAACGGAGACCAATGGATATCGGGTGCAAGTGGGCACCGATATGGTTGTTAAAGGAAAAGGAAAATGTCAATGAGTGGTTTTATATATGCAGCCCGTGCTGGTGGTAGAGGATTATTTGCCCATAGAGCTGGGCAGCTCCGACATGATATTGGGAATGCAGTGGCTTAGTACTTTAGGCACGGTTCAGGTTAACTGGAAGTTGTTGGAGATGAAAATACCTATGGGAAGGGGGGGTTAACACGGTTACCTTAAAA